AACTGATAAAGTTTAATTTATAGGGACCATAAGAGACACCTAACAATAAAATAGAACAACTGAAGACTTGTTTTGGTGGAATTCTTTCTCCTTAAGCAACATCTTCAACTCTGCAAGAAACGAAGCAGCAGCTTCCTCATTGGCAGTGTCTTCAGCAATTTTATTTTTCAGTCCAAACCTAATCCGGAATCTCTGTACTCATCCATTACTTGTACTAAATGGCTTGGTGTCCCTTGTTTCAGAGGGTCCTTTGCTGAATTCTACATAAGCTTAATGCTTTCTGTGCAAACGACAATTGAAACACATTTTCAGCAGGGTATAGTGGTCCACACATGTAAATCTCAGCACTCAGGGAGGCTGAGGCAGGAGGGTGGCAAGTCTGAGCCCAGTCTGGGCAAATGTCTCAAATAAAAAATGATGAAAGGGCTAGAGATATGTCTCACTGCAAAGGCTCTGCCTGAGTCTAATACCAAGTGCTCCACAAAAAGAAAAAAAGAAACACATTTTCTGTTGTCTTCCATCCAAACTGAATAATGGCTTTTCCATCATAATTAAGTACTTATCACTACTGTGGCAATAATTTTTGCAGTTCAGGGTGTGAAAGCAAAACAATTTTTCTTCACAATTTCATGGCTAGGCCAGGCATGTCTGTAATCCCAATACTCAGGAGCCTGAGGCAAGAGGATTTCCAGGAGTTCAAGGCCAGCCTGAACTGCATAAACCCTGTCTCAAAAAACCCAAAAAACATTTTTTCATGGATAGATTATTACTATAGATCTTAATGATTTCCACATATTTTCTTTTCCTTCACACCTTTTCACTTAAAGCATATAACATTTTCTCTGGCATATCTGAATTGCTAGCCGCACTACTTATGCCTTTGGGGCCATTATTAAGTAAAATGAGGGCCACTCCAACACAAGCATTGTGACACCATGACTAGTGATCTGTAACCAAGAACTCTGTTAACTGGCAGGTAGCATATACAGCATGGATACACTGGACAAAACAATGGTTCACACCTCAGGCAGGTAGGATAGAGTAAGACACCATGGAACAACAGGATGGGAAATGGAGATAGATCTTTGGTAAAAGGGAAGAGAATTGAGATGGAAGGAAGGGGAAGGATGGGAAGAGGAAGGGGATGAAAAAATAATTTAGATTTGTTATGTATATGTACCATCTCTCCATGATGAATGTAATTATGTGCTGCAAACATATACTAATAAAAATAAAATTTTGACTGGGTGTGGCAGCATACACCTGTAATCCCAGCACTCTAGAGGCTGAGGTAGTAATATTGCTGCACATTCAAGGCTAGGCTGGGCTACATAGTGAGTCCAAGAGTAGCCTGGACTACATACTAAGACCCTGTCTCAAAATAAATAAAATTTAAATTAAATCTTTTTTAAAAGATTTAATCTTGGGCCAGGGATTTAGCACAGCACCATAGCGCCTGCCTGGCAAGTGCAAGGTCCTGAGTTCGATCCTCAGTACCAAAAAAAAAAAAAAAGACTTAATCTTGCTACCCAGAAAGACACACAATTTAAAACTTGAGTTTTTTAATTTTTCCCTTTGCTATTCTTGTTGCCACAGTTGACTGTGGGTAATGGAAATCATGGAGAGGAAACTCATGGATAATAGGCCTGAAACTAGAGTGGGAACATTGCCTGCTTCTCTGAGTGACAGCTGTTCCTTGACAAGCCGGGCCCTTGCAGAGCACAGAGCCTTTTGTCATCTCGGCTTCCTGTAGGACATGTACCCTATTCTGCTATGTGCTGTTTTCAGTCAGAGCCTTAGCTCCACATAGGAGACCAACCTTTTTAAAACAAAATGAAGGGCCAGGGATTTAACTCAGTGGTTTCGGTGCCTGCTGCGCAAGCGCAAGGACCCAAGTTTGATCCCCAATACCAAAAAAAAAACAAAATGAAGAATTAAATATACAAAAGATTTTAGCCACAAGATTTCATTTTGAAGTGATGAAAATATTATGTGAATACTATATTAAAAATGGTTGAATTATACACTTTAAATGGGTGAATTGTGTGTTATGTGCACTATATCTCCATAAAGCTATTACTTACAGTGTCCCTAAAAGGAGAAAAGCTGGCAAACAGGAACTCATAGCCCAGAATCTAACAGTGCTTCAGACTCCAGAGCACTGCCGACCACAGGCTGCTCTGAGGGCATGGGATGATCTGGCCTTGTCAGGCCAAGGGCCCTGGGGCAGGGATGGTGAACATTCACATTCACTCCACCCCAGAGGCTATAGTAAGCATCAGATTCTCTCAGCAGCCTGAGCCAGAAAACCCAGCCTACCAGGAAGCCTCGCCACACTTAAAGAGGGCCTGCGGCTGTCATCTCCATCCCAAAGGGAGCGTTTCTGTACTGAGGGTTGGACCCAGCTGCTCTACCACTGAACTTCCTCTCCAGCCTTTTTTATTTTGAGACCAGGTCTTTTATTTTGAGGCCAAGCCTGGCCTCAAACTTGAAATCCTTCTCCCATGCCTAATAGCTGTGATTATAGGTTTGTGCCACTACTGCCAGCCTGAAGTTGTTTTTGTTGGTATCCCCAGATGACAGTAAAGGGGAAAGAGGCTGGACCCATTTTCTTAGGTAAGTACATCCACCTTGTACATTGGATTGGTGCCTTGTAGCCCACAGGAAACCTGTATCTCTTGCAACCACTTCATAGGCATAGCTTCATGGACCCTTGCAAGGAGCACACTCACATGGGGAAGCTTAAAGCTGTGACTTGCCATGTAGGAAAATTCCGCTTTAGTTTTGGTCACAAAAATCAGGGCACAGGGTCTAATCCTAGTGGAGAAATTAATGCCCTTTTCAAATTACCTTAAAGGGCAATAACCTTAATGTAAAGTTATAGTAAACCCCACTCCCATCTTACTGTAAGAAAAATTTCCCTGACATGTAGAAAAATGGAATAAAAATGAAAAGGGAAAATGCTAAATATGATTAAATAAAACAAGCCAGGCACAGTGGCACATGACTGTAATCCTAGCTACTTGGAAGGCTGAGGCAGAGGGATCATATATTCAAGGCCAGCCCTGAGCAACTTTGTCTCAAAATAAAAAGTGCTGGGGATGTAGCACAGTGGTAGAGCACCCCAGGTTCAATCTCCAGTACCATGAAAAAAGAAAACATGATTTAAATTACCTGCCAGAAGTAGGAAAATATAAAATATGACATACAAAATAACATTAACCAGGTAAAAATTCTAAAAAAATATTTACTAGCTAGATGTGGTGGCACACTCCTACAGTCCCAGCACTTGGAAGGCTGAGACAGGAGAATCTCATTCAAGCCCACCCTAGAACACATGGTAAGACCGAAAAAATACACACACACAATGAGATGTTCCAACATACATTTAAAGAAAAAGTGGAGCAAGACAGATATTTGAAGAGATAATGGCTGAGAATTTTCCACAAAACCAAGAAGACTAATGATTCCCTCAAAGGAGAAATAAAAGGATACATACAGATATCTCCTGACAAAATTCCAGAATACCAAAGACAAAAATCCTAAAGTTGGCCAAAAAAAAAAAAAACTTTAATAGAAGTATTTCTATAAGTAGTGAAATTAAAAGTAATTTTCACATTCTTTATACTTTTACACTCTTTACTATTAGCCTTAATTTTTTTTCATTTAATCAGAATCATATATTTAACTACTATATAGAGGCTTATGGTTCTGCAGGGCTTATTAAAAAAGTAGCCCCAAGCCAGGCATGGTGGTACACACCTGAAATCCCAGCATATGGGAGGTTGAGGCAGAAGAATTGCTGTGAGTTTGAGGCCCTCCCAGCCTGGACTACACAGCAAAACTGTCTCAAAAAACCACCTAACTACATACATACATACATACATACATACATACATACATATAAAAAGCCCCAGCTTCTCCCCTCTCATTTTCCACTCACAAGGTGCGGCCATCTCCAAGCCATCTTTAAATACTATAATATCCTCCTTTGTAATCTCTTGGTTTTTCATATTTGATATTATCTACTGAATCCCCACTGTAAGAGAAGTGATTCAATTCTTTCATACCTGTGACAGACTGTAAGGGTCATCTTATGATCTCCACCTCCTGAGGTTCACATCTGTCTAGCAAAGAAATTAGCAAAACCCATAGTAAGGCCTCCTTGCCTTTTCCATTGGCTTCTGGAAGGTAATGACCAAGGCTGTGGAATGTTCTAGAAAGCATAACAAAGTGATATCTGGGAATGGGTAGGATTCTGGATTGCATGGTATTAGCTGGTACCTCTTGGCCTCTAGAGGGGCTGAAGACTGAGTTAGACATGTGAGCAGCCAGCCATGATGCCTCAGTAAAAGCCCTGAACACAGCTTGGGTCAGCTTTCCTAGATGGCAATTGTGAGACCCATTGCCAGATGTATTAGTCAAAGCCCAGGTGTCTGAGGACTCCTGGAGGACATGACCCTGTCATTAGTGCAGACACATGATGGGCTTACTTACATAACGATAAATCAACCATGAATGTGCAGTATGGTCCTGCAAGGTCACACAGCTGTTTTTTCAGTATGCCTTAATATGTGATAACAGCCACTATAAGGGCTGGTAAAATAAAGAAGCTTTGCTGCTGCTTGTTGCCAATGTCTGCCCCATGCACCTTCTTCTCTTTGGGACTCTCACTTGAAAAATTACACTTTCAGCCCCTTGACCCTGACACTTGGCATAGTCATCATCAGGATGCAGAGGTGTGTGTCCCCGCGACGTCTGCAGAAGTGATGCCCAATAGTGAGAGGGGACCCCGGGGAGCTGCTGAATGAGTCACCTGGCCTCACTGTGGATGCCAGTAGCTACCTTCTTGGCAGCTTGGAAATCTCTGGAGGACTGGGAGGTGATTTGTCTGACATGGAGATGTTTCATAGGCTTTGGAAACATTGGAGAAACAGATTCCTCTCCATCGTGAATCAGTGGGGGCAGGCAGCTTGGTTGTTTTTTATTCTCTTCCACAGGCAGGAGGCAGATCTTGTCCAGCAGATGGACCAATTCCAGTGAAAAGAGGAGAGCCTGGAGCAATGTCTGGCCACAGTGAAGGTTATGCTGAAGGGCAAAAAAAGCTCTGCTTCCTCCTGGATCGTAAGTCCCAATCACTGGGAAGGTCCTTTAGTGCAGTAAAGACTCACTATCTGACAAGAGATGGAAATAGAGCAGCCCTTGGCCCAAGGATCAGGGAGGCCACCTAGATCTATACACAATGTGTACAACCTATACAGCTTTGAAATTGTGGGAGCTAGCACAACAAAGCAAAAGGTGAGTGAGATAGTGCCTGCATGGCTGTTATGGCTATGGGACAAAGGGCTGATAACATGGAGTTAAACCCCTGGGAGATGTCCCAGTTACCCAGCACAGCAGCACCCCCTCCATGTGCTGAGATTTGCAAGGTGCACAGAAAATGGCCTACAGAGCCGGTGACCAGACCTTGATAAATTGGCTGATGGCAGCAGCCCATCTGGTTTGGGCAAACCCAGGAGACTTGCTGAAGCAAGTCACTAAGTATGCAACCTACCTGGACTTAGTAGCTGTGCTCCAAGGAATGAGTATGTGACAGATGATGTTTGATGCTCAGTATTGCAGCCTGGATGAGGAACTGCTCACAGCATGCATGGAATATTTGATCCTGGCCAGCAGCCCAGCCAGCACATTTGGCATGGTGCCAGCCCTGCTGGTGCCTTTCATGGAGCACCTGATTCATGATGCAACAGATGCCTTGGCACAACTGGGTGATGTAGAGGTGAAATGCCAGGGTAAGGTAAGACCTGTCAAAACCCACCAAAGGAGAAGAAATGAGTAGCCTCAGGCCAAGCAGGGCCAACCCCACAGGGACAGATATTTGATCTGTTGAAGGTAAGCCTATGCTATATCTGGGCAGATCTGATAACAGCTGATAAGGTAGATGGGCAGCCCTTAGATGTGTTGTTGTCTCTGTGGAAGCTATTGTGCCCTGACCAGCAATACCGGCCTATGGGCCCAAATGTCAAGATGACTCCAGTAAAACAGGATGAAATGATGCTGGCAGCTTTTTATCCAGACTAGGAGACAGGCCAAGGAACCTGGTCACTAGGGATCCGGAGAGACTGGAGGCCACGTGTGGAATTAACTACTGGTCCCCCCAAAATGTACAGCGTGTGCTGGCATTGGTGGATACTAGAGCAGAGTCAATGCTGACCCATGGTAACCCAGACCAGGACCCACTGCATGCAAAGAAAGGTTTAGAGGTCACTATATCATGGTCTGGAAGACCAAGGTGATCTTGGGTATTGGGCATTTGGCCCCTGTGACGGTGCCAGCCGTCAATAGTTGAACAGTACCTGAGAGGAGGGAAGAGGATGAAAGAAAAACACAACCTCTGAGGAAAAGAAAAAGCAGAGAGAGGCGGAGGGGGGAGCCCTCTTCCCACTTTATTGCCCTTTATATACCTTTTCCACAACCCCCAACCCCTCCTCAGCACATAATTCGGCGACTAATTATTTTCCAGGGAAAAGGTCAAATGTATCTTTACAACTCCGGGAATAACGTTCCCTTGCACTGCAGACATTCGAACTCTTTCTATTTAACCACTCTCGTTACAAGTAACCATCCTTGTTTTGGGGCCAGCTGCATATCCAGGATTCATTATGTTCTCAAGAGACTCAGGTCTCTCAAGGTTATTTCAACCTTTCGCTCTCCACAGCCCCACACCCATATGATGTCTATGTTTCCCCAGTTGCTGAATACATCCTGGGAGTGTACATACTGATTAATGCCTGGTTGGACACCAAGCAGTGAGAATTCCCTTTGCAGATTCACATGGTAAAAAACCATTGTCCGAGGACATCCTCATCATGCACTATTGATTCTCCTGCACGCTATGTGGGTTGTATGTGTGAAGCAGTACTGGCTGCCTGCGGGTCATGAGGAAATAGGACAGACTGTTTTGAAATTGGAAGAGGCAGGATGATAGACCCTGCACAGTCCTTTCAATTCGCTGGTTTGGCCCGTGGGGAACCCAGACAGGATGTGGCAAATGACTGTGGACTACTGGGAATTGAATAGTGACTCTTCTGTTGTACATGGTTGTACAATATTGCAGACTTGATGGGCCCATTCACCCTGACACTGGGTCAACACCATTATGTAGTGGACTTGGCCAATTCTTTCTTCTCTATCGTTATCATGCCTGATAGTCTAGATCAATTTACCTTCACCTGGGAGGGCAGGCAATGGACCTTTCAAGTGTTGTTACAAGGCTATTTGCGTAGCCCTACTTTGTGTCATGGCCTGGTGGCCCAGGACCTGGTCACCTGGACCAAGTCACACTGTGTCTTTGTTCCATTATATTGATGATGTCATATTAACCTCTGATTGCCTTACAGATTTAGAAGCTGCTACACACAGTCTAAAAGAAACTTTACTGGCCTGAGCATAGGCTGTCAATGAAGACAAAGTCCAGGGACCTGGCTTGTCTGACAAATTCTTAGGTGTTATCTGGTTGGGATAAGTCAAGCCAATAGTGTTGTCTCCTGGGCACACACGTTTGCTCATGTGCACCAACACTTACACTGTTGGGTGTACACAGAACTCCTGACAGATGCAGCCAAGGGCCTTCTGTGGAGAACTGTGCCACCATCCCTGCTCAATTGGATAGACTGGTGACACAGAACCAGTCTGGACCCACCTGAGGTCAGCAACACCAGGCTGTTGAGGTGCTGATCTGGAAGAGCACACCCACCCCACAAGGACTGAGACCTATGATGTATAATGGCTGAGGGTGGATGACAGAGCCCAAGTAATGTTAAATGTTACCCCACTGTATATTAAACAGGTCAATGCATCATTGGAAAATGCAGTGGGATGGATACCCCTGCACTGTGTAACAACACATTATGGGTGAATGACACAAATGCTTGGTGGGATGGCCATGAGCTCATAGGTACGGTGCCTATTGATTGGCCCACTGCAGACATCTTATGGGTCTGTGGCACTACAGGTTGGCCATACCTCCCTGTCCACTGGACAAGGCATTATACCTGGGGGTTTCCCTATATTAAGGACACTATCAGGCCCACTCTGACAGCCACACCCCACAATTGGGATGCTGTGTATCACAGATGGCACTGAGCTAAGCAGATGCCTTGGTGGTTCTATCCAATGGTAGTGCTGGTACCAGGGGAGGGACTATAGACCTAGCCTTCCATGTTGAAGCTCTGGCTCTGAGCTCTGGCTTGCTTGCTCTGCTGCTGCCGCTGCTGCTTTCATGGATATTGGCTCCACATCCTTTCTTTGGTAGGGAACTCACTCATGACACATCAACAAACCCCTCTCAGTGCCAGCCAGGAAGCTCAGCCCTGACAGCATTGTTCCCTGCATATCATCACACAACCATGCCAAGTATATAATGCATCTTTGACTTTACAGAGAGAAGACAACAGAATGTTTGGTACCCTTCTGAACTCTCCCCTAGGCACTTTTTCCCTTGGCTGACTTAAACTTGTACTTAGCCTGTGACAAACTGCTACTAGGAATAGAATGATTTCAGTGAGTTCTGTGAGTCTTTCTAGCAAACTCTCAAACCAGAGAGTGGTTTGGGATATCCTTTGAAATTGTAACTGGTGTCAGAAGGGTTGTCTTTGGGATCTGGCTTCCCCTAAACTAGCACAACCTTGAGGGATTCCAACTCCCCTGAGTATGAGTGGAGCCCGTTTCTTGATTTCAGCCAATGCAGTATGGTAAGGGCAGCAGGATGCATGAGATAATATATATGTAATTGTGTTCAACAAAACCATGGCACTCCTCTTGCTGGAGTCTCAGTCTTCTTAATTTTGAAGAATTAAGCTACTGCTGTTGTAGGCTGCCTATGTTTGGGGGTTCACATGGTAAGGAATTGAAAGCAGCTCCCCAAAGGAGGGAACCCCCAGCTGACAGCAAAAAACAGAAGCCTTCTGCCTATAAATTCTGCCCAAAGAAGTGGTTCCTTCTGTCAAGCCACAGACAGCCCTAGCTGCTACTTTTATAATAGCTTTGTGAAATGCCAAGCAGAGCTATGTTCAGAATCCTAACCCAGAGAAACTTTGAAATAATGTGCATTGTTTTAAATCACTAAGCTTGTGGTTACTTTTTATACAATAATAGAAAACTAATATAATCCCCACTCCCTCTACCACCACTGGCACTCAGCCATATCCTCCTTTCCATACAGTAAATCATAAATGTTGATAAGATTAATAGTCAACCCTTATATTACTGTAATTCTATACATACAGCTGAGCACTATTCTCCAATTAGACTATGACTACTTTGTCATAGGTGTCATGTGTACATGTGCTGGAAACTGAACTGAGGCCTGTATACTTTTTTGTCACTGTTTTTATAATGTTAATGTAGCTTGGATTTTTTTTGTTTGCTATTTTTCCATTTATTATTATTTATTGTCCCCAAAACTCTTATATGTTCAAATGTAGTATGTTGTAAGAAATATAATGGATAACCCATAAAAAAGACAGACAAGGGCCGGGGATTTAGCTCAGTGGTTCCACCGCCTGCCTTACAAGCACAAGGTCCCGAGTTCGATCCCCAATACCAAAAAAACAAAAAAAAAGACAAATTACAGTAAAAATTTAAAACTTAGTTTACTAAAAGACACCAAAAAAGATGAAGACAACCAACACAGAATTTGTTACATAAACTACAAAGGATCAGTATCCAAAACATTATAAAGAACTACAAAACAATGAGAAAAAGGTAAACGAGCTGTAGTAGTCAGTTCACTCATCACTAGGACATAAAACCCAGCACCAAGAATTTAAAGGATTGGGCCAGGGATTTAGATCAGTGGTTCCGGCGCCTGCCTTGCAAGTGCAAGGTCCCAAGTTTGATCCCCGGTACCAAAAAAAAAAAAGAAACTGTGCAAAATATATGAACAGGAAGAAGTTAGTGAACATCAGTTACCTCTAGGTTGATTGCTATTTGACTACAAAGGAGAGGGGAACATTCTACTCCAAACTTCTTTCTCTGAGTTTTATACCATATGCATCCATTACCTTTCCAGAAATACAAATAAAAAGTGATATTAAAAATGAAAATAAATTTTTAAAATAATGTTATATTTAGCTACACGTTATAAAGTACTCTATAGACATAATGTAGAATTATATTTTCATTTTCTTCTTTCCTGTCTTAGTGTATATGACAGGGCATTGTATCCAAATATATTTATAAGTTCAACAATGTGTATAGTTTTGTGAAAGCAATTATCATTTCCTTTCTTCTTTTTCATCTTCATTTTCTTCTTCAGTTTAGAGGATCAAACCCAGGGCATTGTGCATGCTAGGCATGTACTCAACTACTAAGATGCACTTGCATCCTCAGTAGTGATTTCTAATAACTGTTTCTCACAACCTTCCACATACTTGTGCTAGGCTATGACTGGTGTTCAGGAAGTGCTTGATGAATTTTACTGGGGAGGACATGTATTTTATTCCTTTTGTCCCTTTCAAATCTGGTAAAGTTTTTATTTCATAATTATTTTTTATTTGAGACAGGGTTTGCTATGTAGTCCTGAATGGTCCCAAGCTCTGGGGCTCAAGCAATCCTTAGGCTGATTCTGTCCCAGGCCCCTCAGTAGCTGGGATTACAGGCCTGCATCACTGCACCTGGCCCAGTAAAGTTTTTAGATTTTAAATACTCCTTTTCTTTCTTTCTTTTTTTTTGTTTTTGTTTTTTGGTACCAGAGATTGAACTCAGGTCCTTGCACTTGTGAGGCAGGCAGCGGAACCACTGAGCTAAATCCCCAGCCCTCCTTTTCTTTCTTGTTCCTTAATTGTTTTCCCCAGGAAATTCCTTACATTAGGGTTTATTATGACAAATTGAAAATTGAACAGTTAATTACATTCTTTTTAGTCCATAATTGCTGTGACAATCTCAATTATTATAGTCATCCTAATGCTTGATTCTTTTTTAGAATATAATTTCAAAATTCACCAAAAATTGGAAATCCATTGTTTCTTTCATATTCAATTTTCTTTGCCAGAAATTCTTTACTTTTTGTGTCAATGTATTCTTGAGAGAAGAGATTGACTCCAGGAATAAAATAATGCTCAAGTTCTTCTTTCCTGAGTCTCTCAAGAAAGAATTCTACACAGTTGTCAAAGCAGAGGTCTAAATCTTTGGGGTCCCAGTGACTGTCCAGTGGGTACTCAGAACATAAATGAAAGAAGGACGTTTTCACATGATAAGAGCAGAATTTAGACAGTTCTTTTTGTTTTTTAAACTTTTCTTTCAGCTGTTCCAAAAGATATTTCATTAGTTTTAAACAGTCCTTCCTGTTTAAAAAAACAAAACAAAAACAAAAACAAGCCATTAATTTTACTTATTTACAACTTGCCTTATTTCTCATTATATTGGACAACTTCAGAAACTCAAATGAATAATTCCTTTTTGACTTCATTTCTTTGTGGTGCATAGGGTACCAAGAAAAATTATTACCGAGTCAGTGTGGTTTCAAGTTTGGCCAGAGAGTCCCTAGCTTTCAACTTAGCCAAACCACCCCAAACCAAGCACCAGTATCCAGTAAGAGAGATCCCCCAGCTTCCTCCTATGACATGACATTAATATGCCCACCTCCCCCAGGTCACCCCAGCCCTGCCCTGTCCCCCAACTCAACCAAGAAATGATCATCTTCAAGTCTGAGCTACAGAGTCAACAAAGAATTAAACATACCACACAAAATTTGCCATTTAACACAATAAGAACATTACCTGCAGCATTTCACTCCATCAGCTTCACAACATTTTTTAGAGTCTCCATGATGGCTCAAAATGTGTTTTTCAGTGTAAGAGAAAGACAGCCGCCATGTCTCTTCTTAATTTCATAAAGAAAAATAGAAAAGTACTTTACCAAAAGCATTCATATCTAAACAACATAACATTTAAATTGTGTTTTAACTTTATTAAAATGTGATTCTGGAAACACTGTAGAGGGAAGACACAGCAAAGAAGTGAGGAGGTACATAATGTAATTATATATTAAAACAAGTACTATAAAGCAAATGGGGGAAAAGGGGAAAGTGGGAGAGGGTTTCCAAGCTTAATATAGCTAGCCAAGGTCAGATTTATTACCTTTTATGCACTGTTATATTCAGTTTAATGTTTTGTTTCAATAATAATTTGAGGCCGGGGATTTGGCTCAGTGATTTCGCTGCCTGCTGCGCAAGCGGAAGGATCTGAGTTCGATCCCCGGCACTAATAATAATAATAATAATGATAATAATGATAATAATAATAATTTGAATCAATGGCCAGGCATGGTGGCACATTCCTGTAAAGCCAGCACTTGGGAGGTTGAAGCAGGAAGACTGCCGTGAATTCAAGGCCAGCCTGGGCTACACAGTGAGTTCAAGGCCAGCCTGAACTACATAGTGAGACCCTGTCTCAATAATAATGATGATACTACTACTAATAATAATAACAACAACAATAATAGGGCTGGGGATGTAGCTCAGTGGCTCTGAATCTGCCTAGCAAGTGCAAGGTCCTGAGTGTGATCCCCAGTATTAGAAAATAACAACAACAACAACAATAATAATAATAATTTGAGCCAGTTGAGTCAATGTTTTATATGATCCTGGCAAGTTTTAGTATTAATACAAAATAAATTGGAAAAAAGTTTCCCTTCTTTCTATTTTTTGTGAAGATTGAATAGAATGATTTTTTTTCCCTAAGTCTTACCGGGGTTAGCTTTTTAAGCTCCAATCATCGTAGCACCTAGTTTGTTTTGTATTGGTAATGCATGATTTATTTATAATTAGAAAATCATTCAACAAAGTATGTCACAATACCAGAACAGAGAAACATCATAATATCCTATCCTCTCAATAGGTGCAGAAAATGCAGCAAATAAAATTCTATATTCATTCATCACTTGAAACAAAAAAATAACTCTCAGTAATTTAAATCTAGATGGTAACTTAACCTGGTAAAAAGTAGATTTCAGAGAACTATAGCCATATGATAATATGAGGTTCAAGTAGAAGACTATCCATTCAACTTTCAACTTGAAATCAGCATGAAGGCAAGGACATCTGCTATCCCTGTCCCTGTTCAACCTGCACTGGGTATCCCCGCAAACAGAGTAAGGAGGGAAAAAAAGAGTTACTACCCAGGAAAGGGAGAAACAAAGCCATGATTTTTGATAGATGACATACTTGCATACACAGGAAATACAAAAGAATCCACAAATTCACAAATTTGATTAAGAGTTACTAAGATTACAGATGCAAAAATCAAATGTAGGGCTGGGGACTTAGCTCAGTGGCGCCGCACCTGCCTCACAAGCACAAGGTCCTGAGTTCGATCCCCGGTACCAGAAAAAAAAAAAAGAAAAAGAAAAATCAAATGTATTTTATATATGAGAAACAAAAAACAAAATTTTAAGAATGGTATCATTTACAATGACATAAAAATACCAATAAACTTCTTGTTTGTTTGTTTTTTTGTACCGGGGATCGAACTCGGGTTCTTGTGCTTGCGCAGCAGGAGGCGAAACCACTGAGCTAAATCCCCGGCCCCGACCAATAAACTTCTTGATAGAACTACTAATAAAATATAGAAGTAGAAAATATTAATCCTCTCTGGGAAACTCGGAAATCATGTTTTACTTCATTAAATTCAAAAGGAAAAGCGTAGGAGAAGCTATAAAAGAGAGTTAGATGGTCATGGTAGCGCACATGTATAAACCCAGCTACTTGGGAGACTGAAGCAAGAAGATCACAAGTTAGAGCCCAGCCTGGGGAACTTAGTGAGACCCTGTACCTCAAAATGTAAAAACTAACTAACTTAAAGGCTGGGGATAAAGATCATTGCTGTTAGCACCCTTGGCTTAATCCTCAGTACCGCCAAAGGGGAGAGAGGGTAGCAGACATATCAGTCATCCACAGTGCAAGCCTTATTTGGTTCCCAATTGAAAAGGAGGCAAAGGGGGAAAAAAGTGTGACATGAGACAAGTGAAAATTTAAACACTGACTAGGTAATTATTTTAGGTGCAAAACTAGTATGTGTAAGTTTTTATTCTCTAGAGATATATACTTAAGTAATATAGAAGAAACTATGGGCACTGAATTGTCCTTAAAATAAGAAGAAAGAAGGGGAAGTGAACAGGGATGTAGATCTATCAAGACTGGCCACCAGTTGGTTATTGTTGAGAGTTTAAATATATTTTCTATTGATTTAAAATTTTTCAAAATAAGTCAATTACCTATAACTAAATCTAACAAAAGATCAGAAAACCTCTCCACAGAAAACTCAAGACCTATCTAAAAAAAAAAAAAAGGCTGGTCATGGTGGTGCATACCCACAATCTTAGCACTTAGGAGGCTGAAGAAGAGGACTGCAAGTTTGAGTCCCAGTCAGGCAATTTAGCAAGATCCTGTCTCAAAATAAAAAATTAAAAAGTACGAGTGTGCAGAGGATGTATCTCAGTGGTATAGCGCTCTTGGGCTCGATTCTCTACTACTGCCAAAAGAAAAAAATAAGACATAATAAAGAGGGCAGGAAAAAAAAAAAAAAAGAGGGCAGGAATATCACATGGGCAGTGAAATATGGAAAAGATGTCACTCAGCTAGATGTGCTTATTGCTATTGTAATAAATTCACTTATGACACTCCATTTATGATATTCAGGAAGGTAAAACCAAGACATGATAAGCAGATCAGTGGTTGCTAGCAGTTTGGGGTGAGGAGGGCTGAATTTTAAAGCACAGGGGATGTTTCACTGCAGTAAAAATATTATATACAGGCAGATGCATGATTGAATGCATTTGTGAAAATCACTAGAATTTTACAGTAGAAAGAGTAAGCCTCAATGTAGGTAAGTCTTCAAAAATAAGTTAGGAGGAGGGCTGGGGATTTAGCTCAGTGGTTCCAGCGCCTGCCTTGCAAGCGCAAGGTTCCGAGTTCAATCCCCGGTACCAAAAAGAAATAAATAAATAACTTAGGAAGGACTAGGGGGATGTAGCCCAGTGGTGCTGCACCTTCCGATCAAGCGCAGTCCTGGGTTCAATCCCCAGTACCAAAAAACAAAAATAAAAATAATTTAGGAGGTCTGAAGAAATAATGACTACGAAAAGAAACTCTAACTGTATTAAAATGTATGATACAGTCTGCTTGAAGTGAGAGAGGGGAATGCTGACTTCAGCTACTTTGGAAATTAGGAAAGTGTGTAAGACTGACAGGAGAAGAAGTTTTCATGAGCACTGTGCTCAAAGTGGTAAGTTTCCCATGGGGAAATGGGTTATCAGTTCCAAAACAACTACATGTGTGTATCAGCATCAAACAACGACAGATGGTGTGGTCAGTGGTTTTACTGTTGGAGTTAGAGGTGACAGATGGCAAGAGTGAGGACTAGAATGACTCCTGGTAATGGATTATAGTTAAAGACATCATTATGGATTCATGCATAATATAATGTATGTGGGTGATTACATACAGAAATTTTCACAGATAACACATCTATTCCCTTGCTCCCCTGGCTAAGGGGGATAAGACCCAGTAGCAAGAAGCATGGCACTCAGTTTATGGTTTCTGGCACACTCTCCAATAAAAGGATCCAGGGCTCCTGGAGAAATGATTCATTCTAGGACAGGAGGAGGACAGGAGCAGGATGAGTCTGGATCCTGCAGTTTTAGAAAGGAAGAAGTGCTCAAAACAAAGGGTAAGGGGAGTATGTCAAGAGCTGACTGCAAAAGCTCCTAACAGCTAATACTGGGCAATCTAAGCTATCAACTAAATAAAACAGAGCCCAGGGCAAATATCCCTGAGTCCATGCTGGCATATCATTAAAAATGATTGAATAAATGGGGAGGAGAAAGACAAATCTGACATGCAGAATTTTAAATACTTTATGTAAATATAGATGTTCCTCAACTTATGATGTGGTAATCCACTGTCCAGATAATTCACTATCAATTGAAAATGTAAACTGAAATTGCCTACTGGATATACCTAACCTAATGACCACCTTGGCTTAGCCCAGTTTGCCTTAAACATGCTTGGAACAGTCACATTAGCCTACAGGTGGGCAAAACCACCCACCACAAAGCCTATTTTACACCTCAGGTTATCACACCAATGTAACACTGGCAACACAGTACATGGGGAGCAAGGTTGTTTGTCCCCTCAGAATCTGTGGCCAATAGCTGTAGCTCACTGCCCTGCCAGCAGCATCATGAAACGGTATCACATTACATATCAACTAGTCCATGAAGAGATCAAAATTCAAAGTACAATTTATTTCCCTTTTTTTTGGCCTGTGCTAGGGAATGAATGTAGGGCCTCACACATGCCAGGCAAACACTCTACCACTGAGTTACATCCCCAGCCTTTTATTTTTTTATTTATTTTATGACGGTCTCCCTAAATTGTCCAGGCTGGCCTCCAGCTTGAGATCATCCTGCCTCAGCCTCCTGACTTGCTGGGATGCCAAGGGTCCACCACCACACCTGGCCTCTCATTATTATCTATTGAATCAGTATTGCTTTCATACCATCGTGAACTCAAAAACTGTAAGTCAAACCAGTGTAAATCAATAATCATTTCTAGTCCACTCTCGAAGTGAAGCATAATATTCCACCACTAAATGGTGAGTTGTGTACATGACTTCCCTCCAAATAACACAGAATGATAAGGAGAAAAAGAATCTGGCAGTGGAGGAGCTGGACAAACGCGACCTCAGCAAGGTGATCAAGAGCAACACTGTCGGCGCTAAGTTGTGTTCACAGGATGAGGATGACACTTTGTTTACCTCAGTGAACTCACCCTCAAACCCTAACTTCAGTCTAATCACATGAAAATCATCAGACAAAACCCAGGTAAGGGACTTCCTACAAAACATCTGACCCATGTTCCTCAACACTGTCCAGGCCAAGAAAAACGAAGGATCCGTTTTAATTTCACCCTTTTCATTCCTAATTGCATGGATTTAAGCTTTTTCTTTCCTTTTTTTATAACGTTGGCTAAGGGTTTGTCAATTTTGTTTATTCTTTCAAAGAACCAACTCTTTGCTTCATTTATTTTTTGTATTGTTCTCTTAGTCTCCATTGCCTTGATTTCTCCTCTGATCTTTATAATTTCCTCCCTTGTATGAACTCTGGGTTTATTCTGCTCTTTTTTTTCTAGAAGCTTGAGTTTCAGCATTAGGTTGTTTATTTCAGCTGGCTCTGTTTGCCTAACATGAGTATTCACTGCTATGAATTTCCTTCATAAGACAACTTTCACTGTGTCCCATAAATTCCGCTTGTTGTATTGAGGTTGTCATTTAATTGTAGAAACTGTCTGATTTCTTCTTTAATTCCCTGGATGCACATTGAGGCCATACTCTCAAGTGAAATAAATAGCACACACATGTGTAAATACTGAATCATTTCTCTGATGTGAGAAACTGTAAAGTGTAAATAAGGATCAAAATGTATATTAGATAATGTGAAATAGGAAGAAAAGGTCCAAAAGGGAAGGGGAAGTGGGAGGGGTGGGGAAAGAAAAGAAGGAAAAGGAATAAATGAGAAAAGGAAAAAATGGAAACAAACCCTTTGTAAATAGGGAGGCAAGGAGGGGTTGAAGGGAGGGCAGGAGAATGGGGGAAAAATAAGAACCAAGAAATATCATGTAAAGGTACAAATTCCCAATGATGAATGTCATCATATGATATCGTATACCTAAAATGTACCAATAAACTTTATAAAAAAAGAAAAAGAAAAACCAAGGAAGACAGACACAATCACAGAAGAGAGGACCCTAAAGAGACACAATGAGTGAGTGACATCGTGGATGGGATCCTAAAACACAAAAAAGGCATTAGGGGAAGACCAAGGAGAGCTGGGTAAAGTATAAACTTCCATCAACAGCAGTGTGTCAATATTGGTTCATTAATTCTGACAAATGAATCCTAATGATGTGAGAATGTTAGCAGGGGAATAGCTTTAGTCTACATGAGAACTCTGCACTGTCTCTGCACATTTTTCAGTAAATCTAAAACTTTCTAAAGTAAAGTTTATTTTTCAAAAATTACCCTGAGATATCACTTCTCCCTTGTAGATTAGCAAAAATTCCAGCTGGCAAAGAGTTTAACAAGTTCTGTTGATGAGGGTGAGGGTATAGCTCAGTGGTAGAGCACTTGCCTAGCGTATCTGAAGCCCTCAATTCCATCTCCTGTGTAGGACAACAAAGTCTTCTCAGCGTCCACCCCTCTCCCCAAGTTATATAGATGTACGGCTGCAAAAATCAAGTTGGGACAATACCTATGGAGGGAATTTTGGTAGTATCTAGCAAAATTACCTAGGGATTTACTCTGACCAGCAACAAAAACAGACTGGAAAAAGGAATGGATGTTGCCTGAGGGTGCTCAGTATTAGGTAGAAGGCTTAGCACGTATTCATCTCAGGATTCAAGCCCTGGATTCAATCACTAGCACCGAAAGAAAAGAAAAAGAATAAAGAAAGGCTGCTATCTCTCTACTGAGCTATGGAGTGATATCCACAATATCTTATTTAGGGATTGGGAAGAGAGGCATATGAATATACCAGTGGTGCCTTGGTTGACGAATTTAATTTATTCCATGATTGGGAGGAAATGGCCAAGGTCATGCTGGTCAACCAATGTGGAGTTCTCAAACAGAAGCAAAATTTTGCCGAATGCTTCTGTTGGTGAACTCCATTGTTCATGAACAGAAGCATTAGTGAACCAGGGTGTTACTGTGTATGTACATATCATATTTTTTAAATGAAGGGTAAACTAAAGGAGATTAAGAGTTTATTCTCGGCCATGCCACTGCTCCCAGCACAGAGGAGAAAGCTTCTGAGCCACTGTACCACCGCTCCCAGCATAGAGGAGGAGGCTTCCGGGCCACCATAGTACTGCTCCCATCCCAGAGGAGGAAGTTTCCTCATCACCATGCGGAGGAGGTGAGCCATGTGAGCGCCAGCAGCACACCACACCACACCACACCACACCAC